TAAATTCAGCAGACAGAAAACGCTGTGTCGCCGTAGATGTCTATTAATCAGAAAAGTCAAAATAGTTGCAAGATTTGAGGCGAAAATTAGAAAGGAGACAACTACAAATGCGACAAGCCAGATCGATAGCAAGTCCTTGTAAGGGGTTACAGTTGGACGTTGACCCGTATGATTTTCCGGCATCGAGGCGGATTTTTTCCGTAGTAGGTTGATAGCTTGTTAAGGCGATAGCCCGACTACAGTCTTGACTTCTAGGTACTGATCCGTTCACGACAGCTGTGCGGATATATATATAATCCAATACAATTACGAAGTTCTTTGCAGAAAACACTTAGATGCTGTTGTCAAGGGAAACGTCCAATAACACCTGCTTGATATTTTAGATTATTTGTACAACTTGTTTTTCTTGTTGTATTTACAGCCAAAATTCAGCCAGGATTTTAACCAAACAACGTTTTTTTAAGTATAGCGTTTCCTGGCAAACATTAATTAAAAATAGAGCCGTAAGAACAATAATAGGATTCCGCAATAGAACCAAGCCTTGGCATTATATCAAGCGACAATATTTTAATTCGCACAATTAGTAATGACACATAAGAAAGAAAAATATCGCAAGTCTATGTTATGAATATTAACGGTTTACTAGATTAAAACTCGTAAAATAAACTCCTATGACAAACCCTCGATGAACCAACACCTTCCAACATATTTGGCCAATCAAACTTCGTACGTCGAAGTGGGTAGTGGGTTGAGTTCTTTGTGGTGGGTCAAAAAGTGTCTTCTTATTGAAGGCAATAACTTTTCACAGTACACATAGGTACAATAATTAAGCAAGTTTATAATTATCGGCCGAAGGATCAAACATRAGTTCCATCTAATAACGGAGCATAAGAAATAACGCTTGTTGGGCCGGACTTCAAACCCAATCGAAATATGTTCTATGACGTCTGCGTCTATCACTGCTCTATCGTGGACCCAAGGAAACTTGCCACGAGCTATTTTAATARTTCAAATATTCAGAACACTAAAAGTTAAAATGCTTGACGCTTATYAAAAGGTTGATTGTCAGAGCATCTGTCTTCTCAGAAATTCTCAAATTGACGCTGAAATGGTTTGCTAGTGACGCCGTGAATGACAGCAATAAATGTCGGGCAATTTCAAATATCTTCCGAGTATTTCCACTTTTAATTTTGATACTGGATGGAGTTTGAAGTCTATCAATTAGACATTCGACCTAAAACGATTTTATTTTTTCAATAATCATTTCGTTTTTTTTTCTTTTTACAATGACAACCAATTGAAGAAATTCTGGCCGCTATTACTTACATAAATATATCAATATATTGGGCTGTTAATGTTTTCAAATTTCAATAAAAATGTAGATTATGCTCATGTTATGCTTGAATAACTACCAATAAACAGAATAATAAATATTCGAATGATTTTCGATCAGTTTTAGCGAGAAAAGAGCGAAAATCACACAACATTACCCATAATGCATTCGGTATAATGATATATGTTGGCGGTCAGAACTTTTGACTGTATATATAATAGTTCTTAAATCTTCATTAAATTGTGAGGAATTTATGACTGCCACGACTAAATACATCGTACAATACTAGTTCAAATCTACAGAATACTACATCAAATTTACAGAATTTTGGACACTTACATTATATTTACATCAAATTTACAGCCTTTAAAGCGCGCGATTTTTTCCAGTATACTGGCATTGTAGGAGGTTGGATGGTTTGGGTTTGACCGGAACTGTCGAATATGCATCACGAAGCGAAATGGAAAGTCCAGTTATAAAAGTCCAATATACGTTACATGTGTAAGCTCTGTCTATTTATCATGTCATGCGTGCTGTATTCGTATTCCCTGTAATTGCTTTCGCTGTTGCCTAAGATATCATTAAACAGAGCTTGTTAAGCCACAACCGCTGTGTAGGAACAAAAACTTACAAAAACTGAAATAATTACCAATGAATGTATCGGCGAAAAATGATAATCGCAACACGAAAACATAGAGCAGATTTCGTATGAGTGGGACACCGTTACCGCACGGTTACCGCACAGTTACCGAACCTGGCCTTCACAATTTTGGTGAACCAATGGGGCACTAGAATTTGGTTACAGTACGATTACGGTCACAGTACAGTACCGTCCGTTTCCCAGTCATACGAAATACGCTCTAATTCATACAGCAAAACACATTTGTGACATCTAAACTTTGTGGCCTTATTCAATAAACACATTACGAAAATCATTATCGTAACAAGACGACGTAAAAACTTGTCGTAGTGTACGCTATGTCAAATAAACGAAGTTACATTCATAATCAATATATTTTAATGGGACTTTTTAGGTTTTATCTAGTAATTAATGACAGCATTTTGATTAAATAAAAATATAAACTCTTTTATCATATAATTATCTATGAAATACTTATATTTCTCCATTTCGTAAACTTGATCTGATATTTTCACTAGTGTTATTTTTATTTTTATACTAGTGAAAATAACACATTCGAGGTTTCTCTATATAGTGGAAGTAAGAAAAAAGCTATTTTACGACATAACTTGCTTTCATATACAATTATATGATAAATAGAATATTACATGTTCGCTTGGAGATACGAATTTTATCTTCTCGTGTTGAAAATCTTTTCAACACTCGAAGATAAAATCCGTATTCTCCGCGCGCCCATGTAATATTAATATCCTCTATTTATTTTGAGAGAGTAGCACGTAATAGTCTCTAGACTAGTAAACTTGTGGCCCTCTACATACTCACTAATACTCACTACCTCAACATTCATTATTTTACTACACGACACTCCTCACAGCTAGTTTTTGACGGAGGGAGGAAAACCAGCGGACCTGGAGAAAAACCCTACAAGAAGCATTAATAAACGCCTGCGGTGATCAAATTAAAATATCAGTTTTAAAACTGAACGTAAATAATTACATAGTATAACACATTAGGTGTTAACGCATAATTTTTCGCAGGAAATGTCCAAGAGAAATWTTATATAAAGAGAATAAATATTGATCGTTTGGAAAAGTCTGGTAACGAATTTTTTTCAAAACTTTAGTAAATTTTCTATTTCTAGAGCTTTACAGCTCTATCATTTAGTKTTTAAAACTTCGTTATTCTTCAAATGGAATTGAAAATGAATTCTGAAAGAAGTTGCAAAAAATGTCATACGCCATTTTCACGTAGATTGGATWGAATCGAGGCTTTCTCATACACTACACCATTTAGTGTGCCAACTAAAATTACATAACTATTTTCTGTAGACACTGACCTAACAAAGATAAAGTTAACAGGGGGGAAATGGTCTGAAAAAAACAGTTTAGCATTCCAAATCTGAAATACTAATACGATGAAAAAAAAAAATGAAAATGCCCCGACACTGTAGAATACAAACATTTAGCCAGGGCAATTACACTCTTACATAAACAGATTCCATAAATGCATTAATCTTGTTAAACCCCAGAATAAACAAACAGTACAAAAGWGCAAGAAGTATGACTGAATTTCTTAGAATTCGATGAGCGAATTTCTCAGAAATATTGGCTTTTCAAAAGCATCCCATTTTTTTAGCATTACATTTGCTAAAACTGCATCGTATTTGACATTGGAAAAGTCAGAGAAATTTCCGACACTCATATCTGCTCTCATCTCCGTTTAGTATTTCTGTAGAGTTTAATAAAGCAGTCAAAACTATGACCTCGTATTATATATAGCGCAGACAAATGAGAAAATTTGGAACAACCAAGACCATTAAAAAGTATTACACTTTCATTCCCTTAAAAAGAAAAAAATAATAATTCTCGACTCTATAAATTGTAGTAAAAAAAATAAACATAGATAATATACCAGAAATATACAAATTACTTGAAATAATATGCAATTTGAGCACTGCTTGAACCAAATGTTTTATTACTGAATGTTACTTGATTGAAAAAAGCTTTAATTTTGAAATCAAAATATGAACACTCAGAGTTGACATAAGCCATTCGTGAACAATTCTATTATTTAACGAAATGAAAATTGCAAGTCTTGCAAGGAACTGAGTTTTTTTAAAAGCCCAGTTCCAACTGTCAAATTTTATGCGGCGATTTTCAAAAATATAACAGATTTTGCCTTATCCTTCTGAGGAGACGCTTAGTTAGCTCATCTCAGCGTACTGAATAAGAGTTTACAAGYTAATTTTTTAGCATTATTCTCTAGGATCAAAATGACCAGCAAAAATCACCAATGTAAACGGGACTTAATTCAACTAATTACAAAGACACCGCAACTCAAACATAAGGTATTACTACAAATAAGCTGAAAATATGGYATGCATAATGTAGCTGTCACGTCCATAAGTCGCTACAGAAATTACGAATRTTAATCGTACTGTTCAAAATTAYTTGTCGAACAGAACACGACTTCAGCGACGCCATATTGTATCAAGCAAAGTATGCCGCTTTGTATGTCGTTAAACCATTACACTCTCATGTTTTCTTCGAAAATAYGCAAGTTATTGTAYAGTTTCTTTGTAACAGAAACACAAAAACATTTTTGGGATTKGGYATCCCATAGTTTCTCTCTTAAACGATACTGAAAAACGATAGAATCCAAGATGGCTGCCAATTACCATTCTCTAARGCAACGTTTTTTCAAACAATTATACTTGAATTTAGTTAGGAAAGCTATTAACCTAAACACTAGGTATTTTAGACTTTTTTAAAGCGGCTATAATATATATGAAGGAAATTAAAATGATGAAAATTTGCACAAAAGATAGGCCATATTAACACAACGGGCCTGACGGCTGTTGGTACCATCCCGAGAATGCATGCATTCTAAACTATTTCTGRCAGCCATCAACACGCCAAGTCTAGAAAGATATCCTTTGAACTCCTTTGAACTTGAAACTTGACAAAAATCAAAATAATAATAATAATAATAAATAAAGCGTACGCAGATCAGTGACATAAACAAAAGAATTTCGTTTGAAAATAAGAATTTAGTTTCTTAAATCAAGTATAAAATACATGAGTTATCTCAATGTGTCCGTCAATAACGGAAAACTTGTCTCTGAGGGCCGGCTGTATTCATAGAGTAACAGATTASAGAATATTCCCGCAATCAAACAGCTTTTAGAGTATCGGGCTAATACATAAATTTGATGAGCAATATTCCGGTTCTCATCGTAGCCAAACGATCATCTGAAGGGCACATACAAGCCATTTTCATCTAATAGAGTCCAAGGAGTACCGAAGATGGGTGAAAAATCTTTTTCCAGCACCGAAAACTTCGGCTTTTTAATGATTTTTCGTTTTCACCGAATTGGAACAAATACGAAAATAAGAAAATGGTCCAACATCGTGGAAAAACTTTACGTGTCACATCTTCCTGTGGAAAAACGGCAAGTCCTTTCCATTTGAAGTGTTTCCGATGCTAGAAAATTTCCCAATGAATTTGTTTTAATCAGCTGTTCTTCCCCGTAATATTACAGGAGGAAGAAAAGAAGCCAAAGTTTTCCGTCAAGTCAAGAAAATTAAAATGACAAAAYATTTTTTTAATTTAATTTCGCTACTTGATATAGAATATACATCAGTTATTTCTAGCGATCACAACTTTGAATATTTCATAAAGTCCAGAGTGTCAATAAGAGGACATACAACTCAAACTTACAAAATCTTCTGTGCGCTTTTTTTTTTGTTCTGTACCAATATTATTAAAATAAAATTGCGCTAAAGATACACTTGCATGTTATCAAATTGAAGTGCAATTGAATGATAGAAATAGTGAGATATAAAAAAAATTGAACTCTGGCAAGTAAAGCGAATAAGTACGTGATGTCAAACAAGTTAATGACACATGTTATGTGATATTTGAAGTCGAAACGACAAGTACCACACGAAAAAGAGCATGTAGCCGTGAAAAAGAGCATGTAACCGTGAAAATATCACTCGCTCAACTGGTGACTATAAAACTATTACGTAATACCCTCTTCAAATAATTGATATTATAAAACTTATTAATAATGCATAAGCTATTGCTCCAATAAGGGCTGACCATTTAATCAGGTGATTGACCTTGTAAATCTGATACAACCACTAGTGGTTGTATCAGATTTACAACACGGTCGTCACCATTGAGACAACCCAACACTAGCAAAGGTCTCAGTTTTAGTGTCGCATCATAGACCTTCACTAGGTTTTGAAGCAATCAAAGACGGCTAACAGAACTCGCTTATGCAACAGATGGCTTGCTTTCCATGTGGGATGGATCATTATTCAAAATATTCTGTGTTGCAGTAAATTGCGCATGCTTAATAGGGACTAAACTCAGCAGTTACCTTATTTGTCATTTTTCGTCATTTATCTCACTGTAATTCATGTTAATTTGTGTTGGAGTTTTATAAGTCGTTTACAACATTCGCGTCCGTGTTGTATGGGAATTACAATCTCTCGCCTACGGCTCGAGATTGTAATTCCCATACAACACGGCCGCTCATGTTGTAAACTATACTTACATGGGCGCGCGGAGATACGGATCTTATCATCAAGTGTTGAAAAGATCTCTCATATGGAGTGAGCGTAGCGAAGAGATTATGAAATTCGTATCTCCACTTTTTTTTACTTTCAATATAATGAGAAACCTTGAATGTGCTTTTTTCACCAGGTTTTTCGAAAGAGAAATATAGGTATTTCACACTTAATTGTATAATAACGGGTTGGAAAGTAAAATTTGATTTGGAAATCGATTATATTAAATATAGAGCCTTTCCTTCATCATTGCATGCAAAAGTTAAAAATAAGTACTTTAGATATTGGATAAAACCAGCACTTTAAACTGGAGTTCTTTACTGCGTTTTACACGGAATATACTAGACGCTTTTAAGAAATTGAAGAAAGTTCRTTATCATCAATAAAATTCCCTCGGGGCAGGGGAAGACTCCTACTTATCAGAAGATGAGGGCGATCGACGTGAGTTTTAAAAATTTAAAAATGACCCGTAAAAGGCCTCAGGATTCCCAGGTGGGTGTGGGATTGGCAAGTGACGATTACGAAATCAGAAACATTAACTTTGCAGCGGCGGATCAAGGTGGTGGTGTGTGTGAGTGGGGGGAGGGGAGGGGAGGGGAGGGGGAGGTCGCAATGAGGGGTCACTGGGTTTACACACACACACACTTTAGTTCGTAATCACGAATTGGGATAAAAAAAACATTACGAAGACCAGGAATCGRTCTTCCTAACTACGGTGGTCTTCGCAATGTTGGTGTGTATATCAACTTCGACCATCGTAAACCAGTGTGGACAAACGCATACCGAACGGTGCCACTAAACTCGGCTCGTCCAGAGTTTTCTCTTTCATTTATAACTATTACCCATAGTGTATTGCGAAACAAGAGAAAAGACTGKGAACCAGTCGAATGAAAGACGAAATATGCTAATATTGTTGTTTTAATATTCAACTGTGATTATCAAAACGTACCGCATTTGATCTGTAAATTAAAATAATACACAGGGTACCCATCGTGTGCATGCACCCATGCAATTGATATGGTTATTTTATGAAACAGTATGACTGTTCTGCATTGTCTATATTGAATTAAAACGGCCCGCAGTTCATTGTTACAGCGGCTGTCTCCATGACAACACTCAACCAAAATATTTTTTCATCCTTCATCACATGTGGAGATAAAAATATAGGCCGGCGATAGCTTGTACCAGCGGCTGTTTGCATGACAATATCAATCCATTACTTCCTCTATTCATCCCCCCCGCGCTGAAGTAAGAACATGGGCCGGCGAGTGGATATTCCAGCGGTTGTACTTTGACARTAAAATATGAGCCGGCGATAGGATAAAACGGCGGTTGCATTTATCAAATATAGGCCGGAGGTCGGTTGAGCCAGCGGTCATACCCATTTATAACGATTCCCAGCTTTCTGTTTATAATCAAAGGCCCACTACGTTGAATCGGAGGTTGGATCTATGACATTACCCAAAGTTGCCGAAGATAATCATTTGCTCAGTCCAAGCGGCCGCGTAAAATCCCGAGCCAATAATTTGTGGTGTCAGCGGATGTACGAACAACGACTGATGGCCGGAAGACCGCGATAATATAACTCCCAGGATGCATAGCATCAACGATGGTTTCTAAAACTTTATAATACGTAGCCGCGATCCACCCAAGGAATAATGTGGTGATACCATAATTTTTTCCTGGAATTTGATTGGAATTTTCTAGTATGTCATACTTTAATTCTCCAGTGTATAACTTGACCATCTTCACCGCCAGTCACCACCGAACACCCATCACCTGACACATCGATACATCGAATTGGACCTGAAAAGTACAAAGAATTTGAGGCGATTAATGTAAAAGATAGAATATTGAAAAACGAACGAATATAGTCTACGATGCAACCCCATAATATACAGAGTTACCTCGAACGTTTTTGATGTACGTAAAAATAGCAAAAAACATTTATGTGCTTTCTTTTTCTTTTCTTTTTTTTCAGAAAAAAGTAAAAGTCTTTGAATTTTTCAAAAAAAAGGCATACAGCATTGGAGAGTGGTTTAGCGGAAGTGAAATGGTTTAGAGGACTACATCTCTCATCATTCTTTGTCGTAACAAATGGTGGTGCTGRACATTCGTACCTTTGTGAGCGCTTATTCTTGCTATCTGTTGCACGTGATATAAATCCCATATTTGGAGATCACCTGACTCGCAACCGGCCAATACCATTTGACCATCCCACACTGCGCATCTGAACGGATAAATTGATTAAAAACAATAAATAATAAATAAAATCTATATAGTGCCCTCTCTATAAATATTCGATGGCGCTGTTTACAAAAAATTATATAAAATTATGATAAAATAAAGTAAAAAAATATATAAAAAAAAGGTGTATACCTATAAACAATGTACTGGGAATGGCAAGCGTACTGGCAGCCTTTACATGCAAGTTACGCTGGTTGAACACCAATTTATCTACCTTATTTCCTGTCCTGTGTCCTTGTTAAAGACCTCGGTCCCAGAATGCACATCGATCACTCGCATGCAATGATCTGCGCCGCAGGACAGTATCCGCTGACCATCTGGAATGACATAAAGACGTGAAAATATTTACAAGGGAAGAACACACTTCTACCATATAACATTGAAGTTAATAATATTTTAATAATAAGTATTTCTTATGATAATAAGCTACTCACCTGGACTGAATAAAACAGAATGGACGTTCGCCTTATGAACTGTGAAAAAAAATTCAATGAAAAATTGATTATCAAAGGTACTAGTTGTTCATTCCATTCCCCACAGAAGTCACTATCGTTGTCACGCTGTTTTATCTGAGTCACGCTCTCCTAAATATAGCACAACGTATTTTCGTCTGCTTGCACAGACACTGATGTTGGTATATGAATCGATATTCGTTCGTTTATAATTCGGTACTTGGTCGTTTGTTTAATGATTTGACGTTGTTCAATGAATCGATATTCGTTCGTTCCATAATTCAGTCCTTGGTCGTTTGTGTAAGGATTTGACGTTGTTCAATGAATCGATATTTGTTCGTTCATAATTCGACACATGGTCGTTTGTGTAAGGATTTGACGTTGTTCAATGAATCGATATTCGTTCGTTCATAATTCGGCACATGGTCGTTTGTGTACGGATTGTAGCATCATTACTTACTGGAATGTTGGCTGAGGATCATTTGCTGGTCGATATTCCACAGTAACACTGTACCTAAAGAAACAAAACGAAAAGATATTTTAGTGTTCCTACTGATATTGCTGTAAAATATCCATCAGGCAATGGAAAAAATCGCGCACTTTTAAAAGGTTGTAAATTTAATGTAAATTTGATGTAAATGTCCAAAATGATGTAAATATGATGTAAATATAAATGAAAATTTGATGTATATGATTTACATCAAATTTACATCTTATTTACATCATAACGCTTTTTAGTGCAGGTGCCGAACCGGGGAGGCCCGAGCACCAAGGGTAAACAATGCCGTGGAACACATGTGGACAAAACTCACCGTCCATTGTCCCTGTGACTACCAATGTGTTTGTAGGGTCCAGATCTACGGAGTTGACCTAAAASCAGAAAATGAGGTGAATAACAGTGAATAATATGGGTTTATTGTTATAGCGGATTACAAGCTTACCTCAGTATCGTGATCTAGTTCAGCCTGAAAGACAACAAAAATAACAATAAGCGATTTTACTCCYCGTCCAAGCTGTGACATMCATTTAARCGTACCACATTTTCTCACYYTATATTTTGCASCTTTTCAACTCGGAGATTGCGTCACTCACTCACTCGCTCACTTTMCTATRAACTGCCCGATGTYGGTGTTACTATGTTAACCTTGATTTTTTCTCTTTTTGAGAGTCACACATTTTACGCTGTGTTAACCTCAAAACCATGTAATAAATTCTTTTATTCACTAACAGCCCGTTCAAATGCAAGTGATTCGTGACAATGGAAATAGTTTGAGTTTGAAATTTCAYGARTTTTATTTAAATTTCTGAATATTTTGTACACAATTGAGGCTAACAGAGCGTAAAGGAGATCGCGAAACTCAACTAGTACACTTTGTTTCACAGTTTTATGAAAACCTATGTTTTTGCGTCTTTATATCGTTTATTATCTCATGTATGACAACACTATTTACACGCTACGAAATAGACAACGGCCTGYYACTTACCAGTACTACAGGTGAATTAGGTTTTTTACCCATTGGTTCGGGAAGAAATTTCCAAACCTACAAGCACAACAGAGCGTCATTTTGTTAACAATTCGTTGGATTATAGATAATAATGACGATGATTAATGATGATGATGATAATCATCATTATTTCAATCAACAATGCTCATTAGCTAATAGCAGTTAGGATAGTTAAGAAAACGAGACGATTCTAGATAAAAAACATAGTTTAGTGGAAATTGTTCAAGAAGGAAGACTACATAATCCATCGTCAATTGCAACTGAGAAGAAACGCAGTCGATATGCTTGAGCTACTTGGAACACAACTACATTTCAGAAGACAGATGGAGATAAACGGTTCCGAATATTTACCTTGACRGTAGAATCCCAAGATGCTGTGACAAGAATACCGTCGTTCCAACACAGGCAGGAAACTAGTATTAAAAGAGATTTAATCATTGAATTGCTTTATTGAATTTTTATTCGACAATCATTTTTCGTTCTTACGTTATTCCAATCATTTCCTATTTTCCTGCTATAACTGTCTTTATTTGCCTCCTCCCTAAGTCCCTCTGTACTTCCTTTCTATTTTACTCCATCTCTTTCTTTCCTCTTTTCTCCCTTTCTTCCTTCCTTCCTTCCTTTCATTCCATTCCAATTTCTTTCTCTCTTTTCTCCCTCTAAATTTTCCATCCTCTCTTAATTCCTCTTTTCATGTTCTTTTCTCTCTTTCCCCTTTACTCCTTTCCCTTTTAATTTGTCATTTCTTCCTTTCTTCTCCCTTTTCAGCCTGTTCATCTCTCACATTGTCGCTCATCTCCTTGCTTCCAACGAATTTTCTTATTCCATTTACGCCTTCCTTCCTGTTATCACTGGAAAAAATCGCGCGTTTTAAAGGTTGTAAATTTAATGTAAATATGATGTAAGTGTCCAAAATTCTGTAAATTTAATGGAAATCATTTACATCAAATTTACAGAATTTTGGACACTTACATCATATTTACATCAAATTTACAACCTTTATAGCGCGCGAATTTTTCCAGTGTATTTTTCCTCCCTTCCTCTGTACTCTTCAACTCGTCCTTTTTTGCCATTCAGACCCAGATATCCATTTTCTTTTTATTTGAATTTCTATTTCACTCAKGTTTGTCTACTTACTTGCGTCGTCATGTCCTCTCTGTGTGTCAAGAACACGTCCGTATTCCACCGAGTAAATGTAGCTGTACAATAGCAAAAAAAAAATACAAAAACCTCATAATCATTAAATTACAACTGTGTCAAGCTGAGAGAAAGATAGTCTTGTACCATATACGCAATGCAATGYAGGATATGTTTGGGAAAGAACATGGCGAATTTCTTTTGTTTTCACTAGAAACTTATCCCGCAATACATTGCAAATCACGTTGGTGACATGCTCATATTTTATCAAATAGCTAAAGCAAAGATTATCTTACATATTGTTGTCCCATGATCCAACTACAATGGTCTTGGCATCAGGCATAATGGCGCACGATGACAGTGCCTGTTAAATACAAGAAAATATAAGAAGCCACTCCTTGCGGATCCTGCCTCCCAACGTGTTTTCGCGACTGGTACAGCCTCCCCCGGATTTGACTGCTAATATGTAAGGGGAGGGGGTCGGTGCCTTACCGATGATGACCTACTCTCCCCCTGATTACCACTAGGACATATAGGAAAAGGGGGGTGCTTACCATTGACGACAGGTTGATACTTCTTATCTGCTGCTGTTCTTCCAAAGAAAATACCTTCAGCTGGGTATCTAGGAAAAAAACAACAAATATGATCAGTTTATTCTATAGGTTTTGACTGATAATCATTATGATAGTGATGATAAGCAATGCGCAGTGACGTTATTGCTTCTAGCAATGCATGATGGTTATCATTCGTCCTCGTGTTTTTTCGTGTCCGTTAAAATACTCCATAAAATCTTCTTTTTTATTTTGACTTTGAAAATATGCAAGTAATTGTGCCGCTTCTTTAGAAACAAAAAAGGCTTTGTAAAGAAGAATTTTCGTGAACATACAAAAAATGCCCGTAAATCTCCAATCATGCCTTGTTTTGAAAAATTGCGTCGCTGGCTAGTTGTTGTCTTGATCTACATAAATTTATGAATCGCTTACCTTGCGAGACCGAAAACACGTACTTGCAATCTCTCGACAACTGTACAGCCGTTACAGTACTAAAAGTAAATAAATTAAAGATTAACTWGAAGTTTATATCTGTTACATTGGCGCTAATAGTGAATTAACCTCGCTTTTTCTTCAAATTAAAGTGATTTAAGAGTTGCAAGATCTTTTAAAAAAGAGTTGTAAGATCTTAAATTAGTTTTTATCGGACGTTATCGCGTAACGACAGCAGTTATAGACACTGTAACTCCGTTAATCATGGTAAGTGTTTTATTTTTATAGTTTTAAGAAGTTTAAGGATGCAGTATATTTAATTTTAGACTGTGCTTAAATCCATTCAAACCTTCTATGTCGAGTAATAGGTTTGTTGGCAATGTTCACTTTAACCTCTTTACCACCCGATGAAGAATCCCTAGAGTAGAGCAAGTAGGAAGATACAAGTTGAACAGAAAGTTGTTAGAAGTCATGAAGAGGAACATGAGAGCAGGAGGCAGGAGAGAAAGAAAGGAGGATCGAGAGGGAATTTCTAGAGGACTGCGAAGGAGTCATTTAAGAGAAGAGGTTACACTAAAGTATACAACAATACATKACATATTTRGCACTGTTTCGTTASAKTGAATTTAATAGAGTGATCGCAMTTAAWCMKTGCARCTGTACAAACTAAATAGTRCTATTTAGTTGTATTTAGYAA